CTCCTTCTTTGAAGACCCGTTCTTTCCACTGGGATCTCACTCACAGAGATCTTTCATCTAGGTCCCCCCCCTTTTTTTTTTTGCCAGAGTGTCTTGGCTTTCCATGCCTGAAATACTGTCATGGGCTTTTCAGCCAGATCGGAATGCCTTTAGGGCTGATTCTGAGGCCAGAGTGCTGTTCAGGACATCCACCATTCCATGAGTCCGCTGAGTATCTCGCTTGAGAAACGCCTCTTATCTAACATTTATTAATAAGATTTATTTATTTATTTGAAGGTCAGTTACACAGAGAGACAAGGAAAGGCGGAGAAAAAGAAAGAGAGAGAGAGAGAGAGGTCTTCCATCTGTTGGTTCACTCCCCAATTGGCCTCAAGGGCCAGAGCTGCTCCAATCCGAAGCCAGGAGCCAAGAGCTTGGGCCATCTTCTACTGCTTTCCCAGGCCATAGCAGAGAGCTGGATTGGAAGTGGAGCAGCCGGGTCTTGACCGGGCACCCATATGGGATGCAGGCACTGCAGGCAGCAGATTCATCTGCTATGCCACAGCACTGGTCCCTTTCATCTAATATTTGAAAACTTAAAAAATGCTTACATCACTGGAAAGAATAGAATGTTTTCCAATATAGCTAATTTAAATCAAGAAATCCTACAGGGAAATCAATAGATGAAGGCGTTAAATAAAGTGATCAGAAATAAAAACTCTAGATTGACAAATGACACTATAAGATTTAACATTTATCAGTGTATATTAGGCATTCATAGTACACATATTGGTTAACTCTCACAATATTTCTTTCAAACAGGTCCTACAATTGTCCTCATGTTACACAGATGTAAACTAGAAAACATCAATCTTTGCTCAGAGTCTCACATCCATAAAGTTGCAGCAACATTTTTCTTGTTCTTTCTGGTGGGAATGACTATTGCCCAGAAATCCAAATGGCTCACACTTCTAAATCCTTCAGATCTTTATACAAATCTCTCCAACTTAGGAGAATTTCTCTAAAAACTTTATTGACATGGAAACCAATTTTCACTTCCCTTGCCCAACTTGCCCTGCCCCTGCCCACACACACAAACTCATACACACACACTCTACCTTTCCCTAAACCCTAGCTAATTGTTTTCTCCAAAGCACTTCACTGGGTGAAATTTGCATGATATGTGTATTTAAGCTGTCTACCATCCATCTCTGCACTTAAATGTAAGTTTCATAAAATCAAATATTTTTGTCTCTCTTCTTTTTTTTTTCCTACTGCTTAGATGAGCATTTGATACATAATAGAGTCAACAATAATTGCTGAATTTACCGACAATGCCTAGATCTAGAATCAGAGCTTTCCACTACCATGTTACAGTCACAGTGCCCACTCCAGTTAGTCATTGCTATGGTTTGGATGTAGTTTCTACACCAGGGGTTCATGTGTTGGAAGCCTGGTCCCCAGCGTGGTGGTGTAGAGATGGTGGGACTTTTAAAAGATGGGTCCTAGTGGGAAGTCATCAGGTCACTGAGGATGCTGCCCTTGGAAGAGATTAAAGTAGTTCCCATGGGAACTTGATTTAGCTCCCACAAGAGCAACCTATTATAAAAAGAGAGAGCCTGACTCCTGGGTTATGATATGGCTTCCTCTGTGACAGTGTGAACTCTTCCTCTGGCAGGTGTTCCAGCATCTGCCAGGAGATCTTCATCAGAGTCACGCCAATGCTGGTGCATGCCCTTGAACCTCTGGAACTGTGAGATATACAAATCTCTTTTCTTTATAAAGTTGCCCAGGTCCAGGTATTTTGTTATAGTAGTGAAAAATAGACTAACACACTCATTGTAAAATGTTGTAAAGATGCCTGGGTTTGAAAGAATACTTTGAACTTATAAAAAAGGATGGAAGAAAACATTTTTATGGAAAAGCAGGCACTACTACAAGTTCATAGGTGATCTCTTTTTGTATGTGAAAGAATGGTTTTTAGGACAATCTAAAGAGTTAGTGAATTTGCTTTTGCTTTTACTTGAGATGTACTTCAAAATAATGACTTTTCCTGACAACCAACTATAAGCAAATTGCTATGGTAAGTAGATGCCAGGAGTAGAAAGCAAGTATCCTTCTGGAAGGAGTATTACATACATAAACTAAGTAGAAAATCCTGTGTTCCCTCACAGTCCTCCAGGCAGAAAGCATGATACTGCACTGTCATGAAATGGATAGGAATCCAATTGAGTGACTTAACGTGTGTCCCTGTAGACTCTGAACTATGCAATTTGTTCAACTTACAGATAATGACAGGGATCATTATGTTCTTCCTATTTCTTCTGTGTACAAACCCTAATGCAGGATGGATGCAAGTGTAATGAGGTAATAATTTAGCTTTCAAATAAATTCACAGTTGCCTGAGTTTAGAGCTCTAGAGGAGGGTATAAGGTTTCAAAAAAGAACCCACTGGCACTCATTCTGTTCTTGGTTAGTTTTAAAGATTTAAAGTCTACAATCCGTTCCAATTCTTTACAGCTACAAAGAGCTAATGACCAATAAATAACATCAGGAGAAATAGATCACCTTTTCATCTTGAACTTACTGAGCACTCTGTGATAACAGATCAATTAAGATTGAGAAAATAGCAAGTACAAGCCCACATAATGGATATAGTCTCTAAGTTTGATGACAAAGTCACTGAAAGCAAATTTCACTTTCCTTAGTACATTTTTACCTTTTGTTAAAAGTCTATGTCTCTGTTTTTCTATTTGCTTTTAAAGTGCTTTATATACACAGAAATAAATAAACCAATTCTTCCGAATCTTTCAGTTATTTAGAGTTTTTAGGATTTAAGCATGATTAATCCGTAATCTGGGATTCGGAAATTCCTCCTGATAAACTGTATACTTTGTTAGTAGATGTGTATTTGTGTTTCTCATCACCCTGTTCTTTTTCTGTCTTTTGTAAAAAGATTTAACATCTCAAAATACAAACAAGACTAGATGGTCCCTGTTACTATCTTATCATTTGTTCTATTTTTTAAATATTACTCAAAGATTACTGAATACAAGGTACAAGGCATCATGTGGTAAAGTAAAAAAATTCATTGTTAGATATAAAAGAGTTTAAATGAGGAAATCAATTGCATAATGTGTTTTGTAATCAACTTCTCTTTGTCTATTTTCAGGCAATAAAAATTAAAGCCAAACATTTGTACATAATTTTAAAATAATAATTTCTAAACCATCCCATTTGTTTATTTATATTAATCAAACCAATGCTACCAGTGGCAAACTCTCTATGCATATTTCAATGTAAAAATTTAACTTGGGGGGCTGGCATTTTGGTGTAGCAGGTGAGGCTGCCACATGTGACACCAGCATCCCAACTGGGTGTGGTTCCAGTCTTGGACGCTCCACTTCCAATTCAGCTCTCTGTTAATGTGCTTGGGAAGGCAGCACAAGATGACCCGGTGCTTGGGCCCCTGTATCCCATGTGGGAGATAGGGAAGAAGCTCCTGGCTCCTGGCTTCTGTCTGACCCAGCCCTAGCTCTTGCAGACATTTGGGGAGTGAATTAGTGGATAGATCTTCTTATCTCTCCCTCTCTCTCTGTAACTCTGTCAAATAAATAAATAAATATAAAAAAACACAACTGGGGTCTACATCTTACTTGGAGTTAGGAAAAAGGATTTATTTTTCATTATTAGCATTCAGAGAATATAAAGTTTTTTGATAATAAAAACTATTTAATAAGTACTCAAATTCTTATAATGGTAAATCAATTTGGAAAAAATACTTCTGATAAATACAACATATGTGATTACATCTCAAGCTGTTGTTATTTATTCCATTACTCATTTTTTCTTCAAGACTTTAGAATCTACTCATTCTCAGCAAGCACAACATAATGCTTTGCCACCAAGGAAGTCAGAGCCTGATGAAGAAAACTAGAATAAGTGAACAATTAGAATGCAGTATAACATGGAAGTCTATGTGGATGTACGATACCACAAAAACTCTCATTTCTACTATAATCTGATGCATGGACTGATGGAGGGTACTTACAGATAGGTTCAGAGAATAGAAAGTGCTTGAGCTAAATCTTGAATGACAAACTGCTGATCAAAAAGTATATTCTTGCATGGGGAATGGTTAAGGGAAAGGCACACATTTAGAAATAGTGTAAAACAAGCCAGAAATACATAGAATTAATAGTATCAAAATTTTTGGAGTGACTATTCATATATCATACAAACTAATAAGTTCTTATTTAATATAACATTATTTTAATGTATATATTTCACTAGGAAAGAGTAACTCAGAAGGGCTATAAAACTTGTTCAATTCATACAGAATTTAGAGTGGGACCCAAGTAATTTGATTTCACAACTTCTGGTCTTAGGTCACCAACCAACATAGTAGACTATTTTATGGCTATTAAAAGTAAAGTGACACAGAAAGGAACATAAACATAGGTAAATAATGATATAACACTACTGAGGAACATGGACTCATTCCTAAGTGCATGAGTGGCCATTAACAATTCTTTTTAGTTTCTTCTAGGTATTTTTTTTTTCAAATACAAAAATATAGAGTACATTACTATCATCCATAGTTACCATACTTTGAAACAGAATCCCAGAACGTCTTATAATCTAGTACCCATCAATCAACTTTTACCAACCTTCCCTCCCCACATTCTTCCTCATTCTCTGATGGATACCATTATATTTTTAATACCTATGAGATCACCTGTTATTTTTGACCCCACATATGAATGGAATCATATGATGTTTGTCTTTCAGTGTTTGGCTTATTTCACTTAACATACTTACCCCAGTTCCATCCATGTTGTTGCAAATGGCAAGTTTTTTTTTAACTTTTATTTAATAAATATAAATTTCTTTAATCCTTTCTGTTGCTAAGTAATACTACATTTTGTACATGGACCCCATTTCTCATTACTCATTCTTCAGTGGATTGGCTCTTAGGTGTTTCAATTTCTTGACTATTGTGAATATAGCTGCAATAAACATGGGGGTGTAGATGTCTTTTCATCAGATGGATTTCATTTTCATTGGAGAACCTGTATACAGTTTTCCACAATGATTGTACTAATTTACATTCCTACCAACAGTGTGCAAGGGTTCCCATTCTCCACATCCTTGCCAATACATGTTATCTTTTTTCTTTTTGGTAACAGCCCATTTTTTTTTTTTTTTTAAGATATACAAATTCCATGTACTGCCTATATACAGATTCAAGAACTTAGTGATCTTCCCACCCTACCTCCCTCCCAGCCATGCTCTCACCCTTCTTCCTCCTCCCTCTCCTGGTAATAGCCAATCTTACAGGAATGGGTAATATCTCATGGTGTTTTTAATTTGCATTTCCCTGCTGATGTGTAATGGTGAACATGTTTTTTTTTTTTTTTTTTTTTTTTTTTTTTTTTTTTTTTTACAGGCAGAGTGGACAGTGAGAGAGAGAGACAGAGAGAAAGGTCTTCCTTTGCCGTTGGTTCACCCTCCAATGGCCGCCGCGGTCAGCGCGCTGCGGCCGGCACACCACGCTGATCCGATGGCAGGAGCCAGGAGCCAGGTGCTTTTCCTGGTCTCCCATGGGGTGCAGGGCCCAAGCACCTGGGCCATCCTCCACTGCACTCCCTGACCACAGCAGAGAGCTGGCCTGGAAGAGGAGCAACCGGGACAGAATCCGGCGCCCCGACCGGGACTAGAACCCGGTGTGCCGGCGCCGCTAGGCGGAGGATTAGCCTAGTGAGCCGTGGCGCCGGCCAGGTGAACATGTTTTATGTACCTGTTGCCATTTGTATGTTTTCCTATGAGAAATAGCTATTTAAGTTGCCCATTTTTAAGTTAAATGATTTAAGTTGGGTTTTTGTTTTGTTTTGTTTTGTTTTTTCACTATTGATTTGTTTGAGTTTCTTACATATTCTTTTATCAATGCCTTATCACATGAATCGCTTGCAAATATTTTCTCCCATACTGTAGGGCACCTCTGTTAGTACAATGGTGCAGTTTTATCTGTGGCACAATCTAGGCCCCCTGACACCATCCTAAACTCTAGCCCCCACCCCACCACCATTGCTGGAAGCCAGGTGTCAGCTCCACCCTCACCCTAATGGGATTCTCTGCTCCTACTTCCCTGCCCAACCCCCCAGGCAAAGGTTTAACAAGAGATGTTCTGGAACATCTTACTCTCTTACTCTCTTGCCCTCTCCCCTGGCCCTTGGGCTTCCCCAAAAGGACAATAAACCTTTCCTCTAACTCCAGTGTTGTTTAGTGTGTTTTGTTTGGTTTTCTTTACTGCTCAAAAGCTCTTTAGTTTGATGAAATCCCATTTGCTTTTTATTTCTTTTATTCCTGGGCTTTAGAGGTCTCATCTAGAAAATTCTTGCCAATGTCTTAAAGTGTTTTTGCTGTTTTCTTCTAATAGTTTCAAAGTTTCAGGTCTTATGTTTAGATTTTTAATCCATTTTTAGTTGATTGTTTTACATAATGAGAAATAAAGGTCTAGTTTCATTTTTCTGCATGAGGATTTCAAATTTTCTCAGTACCATTTTTGCTTGTTTTTGCTTTTGTTTTACTTTTTTATTTATATAAAGGAATAAATGTCATGTATTTCAAACATATGGTTCTAAGGGCATAATGAAAATTCCCACCTTATCCTACCCCCCCATCCTACCCTCCCTCTTACTTCTTATTTTTCTTTTAATTTTTACAATGACATGCTTCCAATTTACTTTATAATCACAAGCTTAAATGTGCACTAAAAATTCAACAAGTAGTAAGTAAAAAAAAAAAAAAAACAAAACAAAACACTGCTCCTCAAGAGTATAGGCAAGGACTATAAACAACAACAAATCTTAAAATGTAAACAATGCTATGTTTTTAAAAGACTATTCAGAGTGGAAATTGTTATGTAGTGAGTTAATCCTAGGGGCTGATGCAGGCATTCTGGGAGTGAATGAGATGATAGAAATCCCCCCCTCCCGGGACTTTCAAGTAGATGAAAATGAATAAACAATTCCAAATGTATTAACCCTTTAAAAAAAACATTCTTCTTACACTAGTCAAAGATTCATTGGCTATAGATGTGTAGGTTTATTTCTAGGGTCTCTATTCTGTTCTATTGATCTATGGGTCTGTACTTAAGCCAATACCATGCAGTTTTAATTATGGTAGCTTTATAACATATTTTAGGCAGGTAGTGAAATGCCTCCTGATAATTCTTTTTGCTCAAGATTTCTTTGGCTATGCAGGGTCTTTTAGAGTTTCATACAAATTTCAGCAGCGGTTTTCCTATTCTGTGAAAATTTAATTTGGATTTTGATAGGGATTCCAATTAATCTATAAATGACTTTGTATACTATGCACATTTTAGTGGTATTGATTCTTCCAATCTTCCAATGGCCATCTTCTCAATTTTTTGTGTCTTCTTCAGTTTTTTTCATCAGTGATTTATACTTTTCATTGTAGATATCTTTCACCTCATTGGTTAAATTTATTCCCAGAGAGGTGTTTTTTTTTTTTTTTTTTTTTTGGTAGCTATTTGAATTCGGATTGGTTTTTATTTCTTTTTTCAAAGGATTCATTATTACTGTATAACAAAACTATCAATTTGTACACTGACTTTGTATTCTGAAATTTTGCTCACTGTTTATCAGTTCCAACATATTTTTGGTACAATTTTTGGTGTTTTCTCTATATAAGATCATGTCATGTGCAAACGGTGATATTCTGACTTCCTTCTTTCAAATGTGAATGCCTTTCATTTCTTTCTCTTGCCTGATTGCTCTAGCTTGGACTTCCAGTACTATGATGAATAAAAGTGGTGAAACTGGACATCTTTGTCTTGCTCATTATTTTACAAAGCCTTCAGCCTCTCCACATTCAATATGATGTCTGACAAAGAGTTTCCTTTATTATGTTTAGGTATGTTTCTTCTATTCATGATTTCATCAGAGTGTTTGTTATGAAGGAATGTTGAATTTTAACAAATACCTTTTCTCTCTATATCGAAACGATCATATGATTTATCCTTAATTCTACTGATATGGTATATAATAAATATTGACTTGCATGTTTAACCAGCCTTACATCCCCAGAATGAATCCTATCTGATCATGGTGAATGATCTTTTTAAGTGTTCTGTTGTGTCCAATTTGCTAATATTTTTGTAAGGATTGTTACATTGATGTTCATCAAGGTTTATTGGTTGGTTGGCAGGTTTTTGTTTTTTTTTTTTTTTTTCATTGTATTCTTGCTGGTTTTGGTATTAGGTAATGGTGGTTACACAGATAAAAATTTGAAAATATTTTGTCCTTTACATAGAATAAAACATGAAAGAAACAAAATATCTCTAACTGCTTGTTTTGATTTGATATTAAAAATTAAAGTAGTCTAAGAAATTATTGAAAAAGAGGTAGAGCTTTCCATTTAGATTTTTCTTTAAGTTTTATTTATTTATTTTGAAAGTCAGAGTTACAGAGAGAGAGAGAAATCTTTCATCTGCTGGTTCACTCTCCAGACAGCCAAAATGGCCAACACTGGGCCAGGCTGAAACCAGGAGCCAGGAGCTTCATCCAGATATCCCACGTGGGTGCAGGGGCTCAAACACATGGGACATCATCCACTGTTTTTTTCCCAGGCCATTAGCAGAGAGCTGGATTGGAAGCAGAGAAGATGGGGCATGAACTAGTGCTCATATAGGATGCTGGTGTTGTAGGAGGCAGCATTACCAGATAGAACAAAATGCAGGCCCTTAGATTTACATATTGTTTTATTTTTTAAGATTTATTTTATTTATTTGAAAGAGAGATACAGAGAGAGGCAGAGACAGAGAGAGAGAGAGAGAGAGAGAGAGAGAGAGGTCTTCCATCTGCTGGTTCACTCCACAGATGGCCGCAACGGCCAGAGCTGCACCAATCCGAAGCTAGGAGCCAGGAGGTTCTTCCGGGTCTTCCACATGGGTGCAGGGGCTCAAGGATTTGGGCCATCTTCTACTGCTTTCCCAGGCCATAGCAGAGAGCTGGATCAGAAGATAAGCAGGCGGGACTAGAACCAGCACCCTATGTGGGATGCTGGCGCTTCAGGCCAGGGCTTTAACCCACTGCACCACAGTGCCAGCCCCTCCATATTGTTTTAAAAAAGAGAATGTAATTCTTTTTTTCCTTACAAGAATAAATATCATTCCAGAGATATCTTTTCAGCATGAATCTTCTAGAATGAGCTGAAGTTAACGACATCTTATACTGCTACAGTATCATATATAGCTTTTTCATTAACATTTAATGAATTTCTGAAAACTTTTGCAATATTTATGGTTTTAAAAAAATTCAAGTATCAGGATAAAATTACCATAATTTCAAGAGACTGAGTTTCTAAATACTACAGTAGGCATTTTAAATAATTTCAACAGCCGTGCATTCTCCTATCTTGGAATCCAGAAGTTATAGTAGACATATTGATAATTTTACGAGATTACTAATAATATTTTTTCTCTGTCTGACTGTCTGACTAATAACAATCCCAAGAACGTCTGTTTTTTTTTTTTTTTTTTGAGGATGGTTCATTTAACTTAATTAAAAGGAACAGAGAAATATTATTCTTGAAGTGCAGAGGACTATAAAATTCAATAAAGCATCAACAAAAGCAAAGATAATTGATTTGGATACTGTTGTGTAAAATTTTAATTACCAATGGTTTACATAATGTTTTTATTAATTCTTACATATAACCAATTAATATGTTAACTGAGCTGGTTAACATATTTTAGTTTCAGAAGCAAATACTGAATACTTGTAATGTGAATATGCTGCATTTATCTAATCTTTAATATTTCTATGGTTAAAATGTTAACTTATCTAAGTTCATACCACATCAGGACCTTTAATGTATTGTCCCCTCTGCCTAAAATATTCCTCCTCCAGATATTTACGTGATTTCCTGACTTACGTAATTCAGGATTTTCTCAAGTGTCCTCTTGCAAGAAGTACTTGCTTTGTCCACTCTAATGAAATGGCACCACACACACGTGCGCATGGACAAACACACACACATCTCCAACATTTTTCCCACATTATTATGATTTGTTTGTGGTCTTTATGCTACACATGGATATTAGCTCCATATGACTAGGGACTCAGTCTTGTTCACTACAATATCTCCAGCTAGCAAAACAGGAAGGAGGAATATGGTTGCAAATATCTGCTGAGTGAATGATTCTTTTAAGAATACAGATGAGAGCCGGCGCCGTGGCTCAATAGGCTAATCCTCCACCTTGCGGCGCCGGCAAACCGGGTTCTAGTCCCGGTTGGGGCGCCGGATTCTGTCCCGGTTGCCCCTCTTCCAGGCCAGCTCTCTGCTATGGCCAGGGAGTGCAGTGGAGGATGGCCCAGGTGCTTGGGCCCTGCACCCCATGGGAGACCAGGAAAAGCACCTGGCTCCTGGCTCCTGCCAGGATCAGCGCGGTGCGCCGGCTGCAGCGGCGGCCATTGGAGGGTGAACCAGCGGCAAAAGGAAGACCTTTCTCTCTCTGTCTCTCTCTCACTGTCCACTCTGCCTGTCAAAAAAAAAAAAAAAAAAAGAATACAGATGAAAAGATGATTTATTGAATTTTTCAACAGAGAATCACTGCAAATTTGGTTTATAAGTTATCCACATTTCCTGCCTATTTATTTATACATACAGTTCACAACACTGAAAACAGTTAAGGTTTCCCTACTTTCAAAACTATTTAAAACAGGCTACAGCAATCTGAGAAACACTGGCTGACAGATCGCAAAATTATTTTATGACTTTCTGATACAACAGGAAACATTATGAGCAAAACATAGGAAGAAAGAAATGAGAAAAAGAGGAGTGAGAGAGGAGGAAGGGAGGGAGAGATGAAGAGAGGGAAGAAGAAAGAGGGAGGATGGGGGGAGGAAAGGGACATGGAAAGGAAAGGAAGAAAGAAGACACAACTACTTATCTTTAAAAGGCTGGCTTTAAATGAGTATAAGAGGAAGTTATCTGGTATTTTGGTTTTAATAGCTGAAAGAAGGAAAATGTGTACAAAATATAATATACAAACTTGTTTTTCTTCATTAAGTGTACATTTCATCATGACATTCTAGATGGCTAGATTTACAATATAGCTTTACTGTTATGGATCAAAAGTTTGGGATGCCATACATTAGCCTCATTCTCTAACTGAGATGGAAAGGGTCAAGGTGGACAGAAGTGGGAACTGAGACCCAACTTCATGAAATGATAACAATTTTACCCTCAGCACTTCCCACTGTTGCCCTTCCATCAATGTATGGGCATTGGTTCTGGTGTTCTAAGCCCTGTAGGAACATCAGGCAAGGAAGGTACAAGGAGAACACAGACTGTCCCCACAGTGCCCCAAAGCACAGGGCCAAGACACCTGAACACAGATCAGCCTTTCCTGCAGCTCCTGCTACATTCACCAACAATTTTCTCAGGACTGAGATCACTGATCCCAAGTTAACTATAATACAAAGGAAAATCTAAGAAGCTGTCAGAAGACTTTTGCCCTTTTATGTTTTATTTATCCAATTATCCAATGGAAAATTTGTAGATATTGTCAATAAAAATAAAGTGAAACAAAATGAAACTCCATTTGGAAGCAAACATGAAAAGTACGGGAGGGTGTCAGTGGTGAGTAAAATTAAATCCAGACTCAGCTATTAATTTTAATAGTTATCTGTAAACTTAACAAGAATAAATGTTTCAGACTGACTCTACATTTACCAAAATATTTTAATACAGCTAGAAAATAAATACCCATATTACTCAACTTTAGTGTATACTTTCATCCTAGCAGCTTTCAACATAACTATTATCCTGTGTCTTCACAGAGCTCGGACCTTATCTCTGTCTCCGAAGTTTCCTCCAGTATCCAGCTGGAAATACAAAATGATCATTGTTAAAGCTTTTGCTTTGAATATTATAATCCATGCACATACAGAATCCTACAGAACTAACAACAGGAAATGGAGTGCTTTGAGATGCAGCTATTCAATAACACAATTATGCACTGGCCACCTGCTATGTGTACAGTACCAGATGCCTCCAGGAACTACATAGTAGACAATAATAAATCTTTGCGCAACAAGTACTTTACAATTTTAAAGTATAGGAGAAAAAAGATCCAAGACTGATTATAATACATGTTAAAAAAAGATGGCCGGTGCCGCAGCTTACTTGGCTAATCCTCCGCCTGTGGCGCCGGCACCCCAGGTTCTAGTCCCGGTTGGGGCACCGGATTCTGTTCCGGATGCTCCTCTTCCAATCAAGCTCTCTGCTGTGGCCTGGGAGGGCAGTGGAAGATGGCCCAAGTCCTTGGGCCCTTCACCTGCAAGGGAGACCAGGAGGAAGCACCTGGCTCCAGACTTCGGATCAGCACAGTGGGGGGGTGAACCAATGGAAAAAGAAGACCTTTCTCTCTCTCTCTCTCACTGTCTAACTCTGCCTGTTCAAAAGAAAAAAAAAAAAAGATAAGATATATGCCATAAGGGAAGGGAAGCCATAGTCTCTGCAGGTTCAAAGGAAGACAGTACCGCATGTACTTGTGGAATTCAACATGGAGGTAAATAATGAGAAATGGATAATAAGTGGGTATTATGGGCAGAAAGAACCCTATGAGCAGAAGTATGGAGTAAGGAAGAATAAGAAGGAATAGAACAGAAACAGGTTTATAGAACTGAGCAGTGGAGAATAGACTACTGGGAAATCATACTGTAGTGAGCCATGGATGCTACGATGGTGCATTCGAACTCAACAGGCAAGAGTATTAGAAAGAATATGAGCAAGGCAAGGGTGTTACTGTATTTAACAGTTCAGTTTGATACAGTGAGGAGATTATAGCTCATTAGAATGCAATTACTATAGTCTAAGGAAGTTGTGATAAGGATGTAGAATAAGGAAACGGTAAACAAAATGGGCAACAGCAACAAAATTAAATAAACTAGAAAGCTGTATATGCAAAGAATTGGCTACAAGGACACATAATGAAGGGCTTTCAATAACAACCCTGAGATAATAAGCTTCATGTTTCTCAGTGACATATGGGAGAACTAGGAATTTTCCTAAGTTCTTTATATACTTTATATCATTCACTCCTCATTATATCAAATAAATAAACAATCCTTTCATTTTATGTATGAACAAAGGAGGCTTAGAGACAATGGACAATAATTTAAACTACAGTAAATCTCAAAGCTGGACCCCGGCCTCAGAATCAACCTTGGGGCATTCGGATCTGGCTAAAAGACCCATGAGAGTCTCACAGGCATGGAAAACCACGACATGGTGGCAAAAACAATCTACATGAAAGATCCTGGTGAACAAGACCCCAGAGGAAGGAACAGGACATCAAGGAGGGAGGTACCTTTCTCCGAAGGGAGGAAGGAACCTCCACTGTGATACGGCCTTGACTAAATAAGTTCAGAGTTGGTGAACTCAAGGGGCTTCCATAGCCTAGACAGCTCATAGCAAGAGTCTCGGGTGATTGCTGACGCCATAAATGAGTGCCAATTGTTAAATCAACAATGGGAGTCACTGGGTACATGCTCCCCACGTAGGATCTCTGTCCTTAATGTGTTTTACTATGAAACTTGAAAACAACACTACTAGTCGAACAATATCGTATACCTTGTGCGGTTGTGTGAGGGCAGCCTGTTGAAATCCTTGCTTAGTGTATACTAAGCTGATCTTCTGTATATGAGGGTAATTGAAAGTGAAACTCTATGAAGGGCGGGATGGGAGAGGGAGTGGGAGAGGGGAGGGCCGCGGGAGGGAGGGAGGTTGGGGGGGAAAGCCACAACAATACAAAAGTTGCACTTTGTAAATTCACATTTATTAAATAATAAAAGGAAAAAATACAGATAAAAAAATCTTAAAGCTGGGATCTGGACTGAAATGTTTCTTGATTATATAATAACTTTTAGAAGGGTGAAAATAGTATTAATACCAATAATAACATAACATTTTTCATTTCAAGGTTGTCCCTAGATAGGCAGATTTAGAACCGACATTAAATTATCATCTGCATGTAATTTTAATCTATTAATCTTATTTAATTTACCTCATCTTTGCAGAAAAGAGTTAACTGGCAACATTATACTACAAATAAGATTTGGGGGCAAACATTTGAATGATTAAAGCCACACTTGGGATGCCTGAATCCAGTATCAGAGTATTGATCTGAGTCTCAGCTACCTGGGTGGAGTTCCTAAAACTTTTGACTTTCGCCCTGGCTATTGTGGGCATTTGGGGAATGAACTGGGGACTGGAAGAGACCTCTTTTTCTCTCCCCTTCTCCACTACTCTTTTTAATTTAAAAATACACATTTAAAATTTTTTCTTACAGATTTTGATGCACATTAGGCATCAAAATAAATAAAAATAAAATAAACCAGGAGTAAATTTAACTAGAATTGTGAAATGTAACCATTCTTAAAGTCAAGATTCAAGTGGGAACAAAATTAAAAGCTGTATTTCATAATCTGATGTTTCCTTCATAGATAGACAATAAAATGAATTATCTACCTCTATAATTATTTGACATAACTCGTAGATTTTTCCCCTAAGATAGAACAATTAAATAGATAACTATTTATTTTAATGTTACCTAAGAGTACACTCAGGGAAATTTCATATGACTTGTGGGCTATTGTTCCTGTAAGATAGTGACAAAATCAACATTTATCACTTCCTTTGTCTTTCACTAGTGAATCACCAGCGCTGAACCTATTGCAACAACATCATATTATGGCAAACCATTAATTTTTACCTGGGCACATGCATGCATTTTACTTTATTGACCTTTACAGACTGAATTTTTTTGGACTGCACACAATGTACTATTAGGCCCTGAACAGATAGTATTGAGAGAGCTGTACTCCTAACCTCTAGAAAGTGTCACTGAAATGAAATACACGTCCTCTTATTTTTTTCTACTTCTAGTTTATTTACTTTGCTGCTTTGGATTCTGATGTATTCAAGGTAGATTGATATCTTATAATTTTTCTGTATTCCTGTGGAACAATGGTCTTTCTACTTTTTACCTGTTGAAACACTACGCCTGTGATTATAAAGTAAGTTGAAATTATGTTACTGCAAAATTAAATAAAGAAATAAAAGAAGAAAGGAGCAAGAGAGGGAGGCAAGGATATAGTTATATCCTTAGGATTGTACCAATGAAATAAATGAAATCTGTTCTGCTTATATCAATAAAAGAATTAAACACAAAAGATCAAGGCTATAAGTAGCTGCCAAACCTGTCTTCATAGAGGGGTACCCAAAGTTCATGAAGCCTTAGTAGCCCTAGGAGAAAAATCTGGAGATGTCTTGAACGGCATCACAATGGCTAGAAAATGGAAAGGAGGAGAGATGGAGAAGCTTAAACAATTAACACACTATTTTTTTTTTAAACAGGTAGAGTGGACAGTGAGAGAGAGAGAGAGACAGAGAGAAAGGTCTTCCTTTTTGCCGTTGGTTCACCCTCCAATGGCTGCTGCGGCTGTTGCGCTGCGGCCGGCGCACCGCGCTGATCCCATGGCAGGAGCCAGGTGCTTCTCCTGGTCTCCCATGCGGGTGCAGGGCCCAAGGACTTGGGCCATCCTCCACTGCACTCCCGGGCCATAGCAGAGAGCTGGCCTGGAAGAGGGGCAACTGGGACAGAATCCGGCGCCCCAACCGGAACTAGAACCTGGTGTGCCGGCGCCGCAAGGCGGAGGATTAGCCTATTGAGCCATGGCGCCAGCCGAGTCTTGACTTCCCAATTTTGATCCAGCTTCCTGTTAATGTATACCCTGGGAGGCAGGTAGTGGATCAAATACTTGGATGCCTGCACCCATGTGGAAGTCCCAGAGAGAGTTCCTGGCTCATGAAATAGCTGATGGGAAATTATCTCTGCTTTTCAAATAAATAAATTAAATTTATTTTGTTTTAAAGTAGACAGAAGAGTTATAGGCTCTCCTGATAACTATGAACTGAGCATGTGTATGGAAATCATCCTATGTCCCAAAGAATTTAACAGGCACAGGACATGACATAATGTGAAATAACAGATTAGAGAGAGCAGAAATGCAGATTTACCACATCTCCTCTATGCCTCCTAACCATGCACTAGATATGGATGAAGATACCAATTTGGCCATGCTGGGATGAAAAGGAGGGATACTGGGAAGGCACTTGGCACACTGCAGACACCATAAGATGTTGGTGATTTCTAGTAGTCTTCCTCAAAGAGGCCAACACTGAATTCGACTGAATCGGAGGCAAAGAAACATTCCATGCACAGAGAAATGTGAGAGGAAAAACAGTGTGTCTGAGAGAGGGAGAGCTGAAAGATGATTTTTCAGGAAAGTTTTTCAGGAACTATTTTAGAGATCAATATGTACAGTACCACTTAAAATTTCTGGAACACATTGATGCAGTTTATTTTCAATGAAATCCACCCTCTCAGTACTATATTTACTCCTTCTGGAGGTTATACCTTTTTTGGATACTTCCTGGACTGATTTTCCTTTGTATGAAAACTGTGCTGAGGGAGATGAGGGCATCTTTTTATTCATGTTTCTCCAGTCTCTGCTCGTGAGTATGAAAGGCTCTGTTAATTTTTAGTGTGATGTTCAGGACCACACACATCTCCAGATCACCTTGTTCAGCTAGGACATTCAGTGCATTGCAAAAGATGCATTCAGCATGCTGTGTTAACTAAAAAAGGGATCATTTTGATCACTGTTATTCTGGCATGATGAACGGGTAGTGTTCCAAATGAAACTAGAATTGGACAACAGAACCAATGCATTATCCATTTGCAAAATTATTCCCCTTACAGGCTCTGCAAGATTCCACTGGATATGACTGAAGAAATCGAACAAGTGTTTAATTGGTT